ATGGGTAGCAGATGCCCAAACACTTGGGCCATCTTCCACTGCTTTTCCCAGGCCATAAGCAGGGAGCTCAATCAGAAGTGGTGCAGCCAGGATCGGTGCCCACATGGAATGCCACCATTACAAGCTATGCCACAATGTCCACTCCATAGTTTAAATATTCTTTTATTTCTTTTTAAAACTCATGTCTTTTACATTTTAACATTTCTTTTCTGTTGGTATTTTAACAGTTTTAATTTGGGTCTTCTTGTTCCAAGCAACTCATTTTACAAATTGTTTGGTATTTCTAATTAAAAAATAGAGAAACTCTATTCTTATAATCCTTTTATTTTTTTAATGTGGAAAACACACATAAAATGTACCTGCCATGTTAGCCATTCTTTTTTTTTTTTTTTAATAAAGATTTATTTATTTATTTGAAAGGCAGAGTTACAGAGAGGCAGAGGCAGAGGCAGAGAGCGAGGTCTTCCATCTGCTGGTTCACTCCCCATATGGCCTCAACAGCTGGAGCTGCACTGTTCCAAAGCCAGGAGCCAGGAGCTTCTTCCCAGTCTCCCACGTGAGTGCAGGGGCCCAAGGACCCATCTTCCACTGCTTTCCCAGGAAAGGGCAGAGAGCTGGATTGGAAGTGGAGCAGCTGGGACTCGTACCGGCGCCCATATAGAATGCCAGCATGCAGGCGGTAGGCTTTACCTGCTATGCCACAGCACCGGCCCTGTTAGCCATTCTTAAACCTTATATAATGCAGTGGCATTAAGTGTATCCACAGTGTTCTGTAGCCACCACCATCACTCATCTCTGGAACATTTCGGCCTTCCAAACAGAAACTTGGTGCAGGATAAACACTGTCTCTGCCTCCACACCCCTCGCAAGCACTGCTCTACTGCGTGTCTCTCAGAATTTGCCTCTGCAGGAACCCTGTACAAATGGCATCTCACAATGCTTGTCCTTTCGTGTGCCTTTTCTGCCCTTCACTCTCAATTACCATTCTCAAACTGATTTGTATCATGCTGAGTTTTTACTCACTAGTTCACTTGCATTCTTAAACATTCTTCCATTTGTGTGTTTTCCTTCACCGTGCTGATGGGATTAACTCATAAGGGTGCCCTCCTGTTCTCCAGGTTCTTTCACCTTGTCTGCTTGGTGACCTTCAACAAAGCTTCTAATTCTTCCAGAGACATCTCCCTAGATGACCCAAGACACACGGATCAAAAATCCTTTCTGGAGACGGGTGTTGGTGCCTGCATGCCATATCTTGGTGCCTGGATCTGAGTCCCCACTCCTCTCCCAAGTCCAGTTTCCTGCTTGGATGCACCCCGGAAGCCAGTAGCTGATGCTTCAGGCACTTGGATCTCTGCCACCCCCACGGGAGACCCAGATGAAGCTCCTGGCTCTGGATTTTACTTGACCTGGCCAGGTCCTGGCTGTTGCAGTCATTAGGGGAGTGAACCAGTCGATCCTCTGTTTTTCTGCCTTTCTAATAAAAAATGAAAAAATAAAATCCTTCTCCAGGCATGAGCAAATTGCTCCTGCAGTCAGCATTCTGGCACAGCCTGGTGCTGCTGTCTGCTAGGACCCAGGGGCTCTCAGGGTCTCCTTCCCCCGCTTTCATCAGCAGCCTCTCCCTAACCCACGGGGTCAGTGGGAAGGCCCCATGGCTGCTGGCTTTAGCTTGGGCAGATCTCCAGTACCTGCTGACTGGAGCTGACAGATGAATACAGGAACCCTAGCACATTTCACACAAACAATGGGTAATTTTCTAGTAGGCCCAGTATCCCATGGGGCAGACTGACACTAACAAATCCCTTCTTATTCATCTGACATTGAGATTTAACTAGGAGTCCTGTTATTTGCCAAGTCTGGCAGCCTTGCTGTAAACATTACCCAGAATTCCACACTGCAGTCCACTCCACAGGTGGCTTTCCCTTCTCAGAAGCTTGGGAGGAAGGGGAGATAAGGATTAGCTCTAAAGAAAAACGCACCAGGCTGGGTTAATCTCTGATAACCTATCTACCAAAGGGAAATGAATTACAATTTAGGTCCGTGGCTAAATTGATAAACAGTCCCTGCAGTCAGAGTGCCGTGGACTCAGCTCGCTCACACCTGGGAACCCAGCGTGCCAGGGTCCAGCCTCGCATGGCCTTGGCGTTCGTCAGCACTCACAGAGGCAGATGTGTTCTTCTGAGGACCAGATGTGAGACAGGCACGCATGTATAAGAGGCCAGATTCTACCCTGCATTAAGTGGACTGAGTGTTGGTGCACTGACTGCTGGAAACCAGGTTTGGGGGAAGAGGAGGAGGGGCATAAGCTGGAGGAGAACCTGCTGCTCTATTGCCAGAGCTACAGTCCAGCTATCCAGGCCAGGGCCTCAGAAGAGCCCACGCAAATGCCTGAGAAAGTCGCCGTGAGACAACAGCCTGCCAGGAAGCAAGAGCAGGAAGCCAGGCTGCAGCCTCCGCCCCCTGCACACAGCAGCCCATGGGCAAGAGCTGCACGGCCAGAAATGCCCCTGGGCTACCGGCAGGGAGGGACGTGCGGAGCTGGGCAGAGACAGAGAGGGGCCCAGCTGGAGGTGAGAGACCTTTAACTGCTACCCAAATGGGGAACTTTTATTACCATACTTTTGCTTACTGAGTGGAGACTGGGTTTTCAGTGAAAAACAAGCAAGCAGGAGGAATGTAGGAGGAAAATTATTCCTCCCCACTGAGGGCGCTTCAAAAGGACAGAGGGAGACACAGTGGGCTCCTAGTGTTCACAGCAGCATTGCTCAGAAGGGCTCTAAATGTATTCAGTTATGTTCAACACACTGCCTACTGTAGGACTAGATATGTGGTACATGAAAATGTTCCATAAATTACAATGCATAATAAAAGGAATGTCCATGAACTTATCATCTGACTCAAGAGCTAGAAAAACAAGATTTTTGAAGCTGTGTCTCTTCTCCAAGACCATCTCCCTCAACAGGTAACTACTATTTTTGCAGTGCAAAAACTCATCAAGACCCAGCTGCTCACTTCTGATCCAGCTTCCAGCTAATATGCCTGGGAAGGCAGCAGAAGACGGCCCAAGTGCTTGGGTTCCTGTTATCCACATGGGAGGCCCAGGTGGAGTTCCTGGCTCCTGGCTTTGGCTTGGCCTAGACCTAGCTATTGCAGTCACTTGGGGAGTGAACCAGTAGAAGGAAGATCTCCCTCTCTGTTTCTCCCTCTGTCTCTGTTGCTCTGCCTTTCAAATAAAATGAATCTTTAAAAGAAAAACACACATACCAGCTACTGGCATCTATCTACTTTAATACCATATGGGTACATAGCCATCCCTAAGAAGCACATCTACCTTGGCGTGCTTCTGAACTTTACAGTGACGGACAGCAGAGATGAACCAAGAGTGTCCCCTAGAGGCCAACTAATGTTAGTTTTACTTTTTGATAATGGTTTCACCTTTCTCTGGTCCCCCACCACCATGTGTATCGAGTAAGTGGGTGAGGGAATAAGTGGATGAGGGCTATAAGCACGACTTCTGAGTCTGTAAACGTAAGAAAACAAGGTAGGTTAAAACCACCCAGCTCCCGAACAGTAACCATGTGGGCCACAGCTCCAGTTCAGCTTGGCTGAGCTTTCTAACAGCTGGTCAATCTAACGGCCACTCATGTGAGACACACAATGGATGCACTGAGACTCTCAGTACAAACACTCTGCCTTCTTCATCACTCTTCCCCCAGCCCCAGACGGCAGTGCGGTGGTCCCTAGAGGTCTTTGCTGGGGTGGGCAGAAACAGAAGCTGCTCTGGGGATGGAGGGGTCGAGCAGGTGGGGTCAAGCCTCCAAGAGGAAAGGGTAGGTGGGTTCTCAGATTAGGTGTGAATTAGGTCCTTAAGCACTGAATCCTGGCATGGCTCAGAAGCAGGGACAAAGGGTGCAGCCTCAGCTTGGGCTTCCTGCACCGCAAAACAAGATGCTCAAGGCCTGCCTTCCAAGGTGTGGGGAGAAAGCACTTTCACAGCGGTCCTGGCAGGGGTGGGTAACAGAGCAGCCTAATGGCTGCCTAAATGCTCTGGGCAAGGGCCTGGATGACTCAGCCTGGGCCAGGAGAGGGTCCCTCGCATCAGTCCTAACCAGGCCACAGGCTGCCCTGGCTTCCCTACAGATCCAGGATTTGAGACAGCCATCACTTCGTTTCTATTCGGAACACAAGAACCTCCCAATCTGTACAGTCACGCATGTCCCAGCTGAGAATGGCTCTCAGTCATGAACCCTTTCACTCTGCAGGCGGAGAGCCCCAAGTGGCTAACACCTTGCCAGCAATAGAGCAAAGGCCCAAGAGTCCACCCCTCCACCCCCACCCTGGGGACCAGCTCTTTCTCCCGTCTTCTGGGGTTAGCTCTTTCCTCATCTTCGCGGCTGCCTTCTGGAGGCCTCTGCGGCACACCCTGGGAGCTCTCACTGTGCGTGGAGGCAGGATCTACTCTTTCTGCCTCTTCCAGGAAGCCCTTTGAGGCCGGGACTGGCCCCTGCTGGCCCTGCTGCTGTGGGTTCGCCAAATTACAGTGAGGTGGCTTACATCTGCTCTGTGTACTCTGGGCAGAGACGCTCCTCCTACACACAACCCAGGCACGGGATTACAGCTTTATGTACATGACCTCATCTGCTACCTGGTCTGCACGATAATTTGTTCCCAACGTTGTAAATGCTGGCTTTGCAAGTGATGACCAATAGCCAGGGCTCTGATCTTGAAATCAAGAGGATGGGAAGAGGAAAGTCCACCAGAGAAGGCTGGTGGCCTTCTGCCCAGCCTACAGAGCCAGTCCCTGGGGCAGCTGGAGTGCGGCTGAGAGGGGGCACCCACCCTAACCAGATGACTGTCCACAAAGCCCACCCGGGGCTCTCAGCAGGCTGTGTTGTGCCGCTACAGACAGTCCATGTCCCCGCACCTGGAACTCTCAGGGAAGACACTGCACAGCTCCCCGCACCTCTCCCCATGAGAAACAATGACCCTCTACTACTTGCTTCACTGCAAGTCAATCAAAAGTTATTTATTTTCTTAAAAGTATAAAAACACATTTGAAAAAGGGACTCATTTCCAGTTGGAATGAAGACAGAGTATCACCATGACACGTAACCCGCGTGGGCGCGAGTCCGCCACGGATGAAGTTCTGCTCCCAAACCAGCGCTGGCTTTCATCAGCACCCATCCTGGGCTCTTTAGTGAATTATTGTTTGTGAATTACACATGGACAGAGTGAGCTTTATTTAAACCAGACTCATAAAAGTAGGGGTTGTACATCTCCGAGTTCACAAAATATAATAGGGCTCTAAGGAAAATAATCTTGTCAGTCCCAGGGGACTTTCCGCCCCAGGAGTTGATTGGTCACTTTCTGTGGAGGAAAAGAAAGGCAGGAAGGGAGTTAGGTACCCCAGGCAAGGGACACGGCCCGCCCCTCCTCGCCCCGCTCCCCCAGCCATGCTGCTGAAGAGGCTGCTGTGGCTCTACCCATATCTTGTTTACGCCACTCACTTTCAGAAACTCTAGTGATTAGCCACAAGAGACTTCCCGAAGGGTGCAGTTAAGATCCTCTACAATCAATAGCCACTACTTCTACACAGATGCAGAAATCGTAGGCCTGACAGACGAACCCACCCACCAAGCACGGGAGGGCCTGGTCCTGCCATGATGAGCAGTGGACAGGCCGTGCAGAGCCTGGGGCTCCGACCCCACCCGACTATGTGATGAACTGATCTTTCGGTTCCTGACTTTCCGAGTTCTCTGGGATACAGTGAGGGGTCTGGGGAGGGGATCAGTTGGTGGTAAGACCTGTGCCTATGAGGTTCTGGGACATGTAGCACCACTGCTGCCACCCTCCCACCCCACCCCACTCCGCCCCCCCGCCATCCACCCTGCCCCAAGCTGACAACTCTTATGCCACACTCAGACACCTTCCAGTTTACTTCAATAGTTCTAGAGGTATTTTACTCACTCATGAGGGGCAGAAAATCACCACTTGGAACTCTGGAACGAAAACCTGACAATTCTGATATCTGGGACTTTTCCACCATGTTCTCTAAATGCATTCTCCTGGGGGTGGAATTTGGCTTCATTCCAAATGCATGAACAGTAAGTGTCTTCCACATTTCAGCCCGAAGAGCTGAACCTGACCTGAAATCTAGCCACTGGTGCCTCACCTCTCTAGCTGCAGCACGTTTAAGTTCAGTCCACCCCTGAGCAGTTCTGAGGGAATGCTCCGACGGATCAGACACGTTTATCCGCGGCTCTCCTCCCGATACACCCAGTGCACCCCCTCCACGCACGGCAATGACTGACCTTTTTATACAGCTGGGCTCGCAGCCGGTACGTCTTATATTCCAGTCTCCTCTTCTCCTCTTCTCTCTTTTTCTGGACTTCTGGCAGCTGCTCATACATCCTTAGGGAAGGCACCAGTGCAGAGAGAGGCAGTCAGGAGGCTACCACACAGGGACACAAGATCTCTTCTCCCACCCCTGCCTGCATGCAGTGAAAATGCTGTAGAGGCCCTGCAGGAAATACTCATAGACCAGAGAAGGTAAAGAACCTCTCAAGGAACACATGCGGGCAAGTGCTTCCCCAGAGTCCAGCTCTCTCTTCTCCACCTCTCTGCTTCTCACCAGGACCTTCTCACCATGACACAGTTGAAAGAGAACTTGGACGGGGAGACCAAACGCTGGGCTCCACTCCCAGCTCTGACCTGATGCTGGGTTACTTCCCCGCTCTGGGCTGCTGTTTCCTAAACACCCAGAGTGACTAGATGATATCTAAGATTCCACTCGACTCTTTGACTCACATGAAAGTGGAGCACTAATGTAAAAGGGGCCAAATGAGAACTAAAGTTGAACAGAAGCACTCCAACAAAGATATTTCCGTGTCAAACTTGAGTCTCTCTCTGGAAGAGGGAGACTTAATACACCTATGTTTGAAGCACTGAGATCTTATCGAAGACGCCTCTCTCTTCCTGTGAGCATGCTTCACAAGTCTCTACAGCAAGAACTCCTCCCACAGAGGTGTCACCAGTAGCCACAGTGAACAACAGATAATTATTCCAAATTAAATTCTGTGAAGAGTTAGAATGAATGAAGTATCACTTCTCCAATTTTGAGGACTTAGGACTCCTAAAAATTGAGAATTCCATTGTAGGGTTTATCTGTTAATACTACATTAAAAATTAAACTTAAATATATTTTAATTCATTTAAACATAACAATAATTCTATTACCCGATAAGTAACCTTTTTTTTAAAAAAAAATAAAAAAGGATTTATTTATTTATTTGAAAGGCAGAGTAATATAGTGTTACTTTTGTTTAATGGAATTTATGTATTGAAAACACAAACACACACACACACAACAAAAGAAAGACAGAGTTATAGAGACAGAGAGGGAGAGTGGGAGAGATCTTTCACCCACTGGTATACCCTGCAAATGGCCGCAACAGCCAGAGCTGGGCTGGTCTGAAGCCAGGAGCCAGAAGCTTCTTCTGAGTCTCCCCTGTAGGTGCAGGGGCCCAAGGACTTGGGCCATCCTCCCCTGCTTTCCCAGGCCATAGCAGAAAGCTGGATTGGAAGCAGGGCAGCTGGGATGCCGGTATTGCAGGCAGCGGCTTTAGCCACCATGCCATAATGCTGGCCCGTAACCTTTTTTTTTTTCCTGAGTAAACTATAAGGACATTTTCCAAAACAAATTTTACATTTACCACAAATCTTATTAATATCTGGTTTATAGAAGACAGCTTGATTTATTTCTGCTTCTGTGTTACGTCTGCTGTTATATGTTGTTCTAGCTCAAGCATGCATTTAAAAAATCCAGCTTATACACTTTTAGAACTGGAAAATTCAGGAGTACTTTAATGTTCTTTTCAGCTAACTGCTGATCTTTGATGTGACACCAAAACTTGACAAGGGGTAGTTTCCTAAAAACTACTTACAAGGGGCCAGCTGTGTGGCATAATAGGTAGGCCTCCACCTGTGGCGCCAGCATCCCATGTGTACTGGTTTGAGTTCTGGCTGCTCCATTTCTGATCCAGCTCCCTGCTGATGGCCTGGGAGAATAGTGGAGGATGGCCCAAGTGCTTGGGCCCCTGCGCCTGCGACTGGAGGAAGCTTCTGGCTCCTGGCTTTGGATATAGCCCAGCTTCGGCCATTGTGGCCATTTGTGGAATGAAGTAGTAAAGGAAGTCCTCTCTATCTAGCTCTGCCTCTCAAATAAATAAATATATTAAAAAAAAAAAAAACTTGGCTGCAAGGTAGAATCTGAAATCTTACCAATGAAATTTTTATACCCTATATTACATAAATATACCAATCTGTCTTGCACTTTGAATGGATATTTTATCTGTGCCTGATTTTATAGCACCAAGCAACAATTATTTGGAAAATTCTAGTCCACCGAGTTATGCAGCTCTTCCAAATGTCGACAAATTCACTTACAATACATGAAAAACATTGTAACATGTGTTACTGTCCCTGCTGATCTTATCACGAAAGCCTAATCTCATAGTGGTAGATACCGGTTTTCTAGAATTCTATTCTTTGCTTGATAGCTCAGATTTCTCTTTGGCAATAAATATTATCAGCAGTTTCCCCTGAAGTGATGGACTCACTTCTTCCTTTTCAAGAAAATGTCAGTTATACCCCCAAGTCAGAATAATCAGTTCATCTGTCATTCTCTCAAGTGAAAGTCGTGCTCCATGACAGAGGCAGCTAGTTCAGCTCATTCCACTGGCCATGGCACAAGAGCTTTCCCCCAAAACAGTCATCCTGGGCGTACAGCAGAAGCACTGTATGTGCCCCCACATTCCTGGCACGTGGCTGTGTGGAGCACAATGCCTGCCAGACTGGCACAGTTTGGTGTCCTGGTCTTGAACAGTGTGAACGCACCAGCAGGTTTGCTCTCCCCTCCTCCACTGCATCTACATAGCTAGTGCCAACGTCACCGTAGTGAAAAAGGCATGTGACATTCTCGTATGATTTGGAAGTCAGTTTTGACCTTGCAAATCCTCGGAAAGGATCTTACTGACTGCTGGAGTCCATGGATCACTCTCTGAGAACCACGGGATTAAAGCATCCCTTAATTACCTGTAACTTCCCAACTGGAGAGTAAAAGCAAGATTTCAAAAGAACTGCTTAAATCTCGTAAGATAAATTGTTTTCAAGAATCACCACTTCAGAAGCATGATGCCAACAACAAACTGTTCTTATTAAAGCAAGGAATCTCTAAGAGGTAACTCTTAATCTCATGATCAATAAATGCAGATCTCTAATTAATGAGTAGCTAAATCCTTGTAATGGCATAAAAATAAAAGGATATAAGGCAAAAATTAGATTTTTTAACTTCGTACTTCTGCTTAGATCTTTTTCCCAGAAGCAATCATTATTATCTTTTTCTCTGTGTCTTCCAGAGCTACTCTATTCACATAAAAGGATACAAATCCATATACACTCAAACACTTCTTTTTAAAGACCACAAATGGCAGCAATGAACACGTCCTTCGGAATCTTGACTCTTTTTTAAAGCTTTACTTAATGAGTCTGGGAGAGCGCTCCTTATCCGCTCCATTGGATAAATGCCTAAGAATGAGACTGCTGAGATAGTGTGGCCCTAGATAAATATTTACTTTTATTTTAAAATATTCTTTATTATGTTTAGTGTTCTAGCAAATGTGAGCCAAAAGTACACATATTAGTGAGGATTCTTTTCATCATTTATATGCCAGTCAATCACACCATCAGCAGCTATCTATCTATTTTTCTTTTCAAGAGCCATTAGTGAGAAACCACTTTCACAACTCGCTGTTTCATATTTTAACTTGAGCATAATGCCTTTATTCTGGGGAGCAAGCAAGTGCTCCTGACCACTTGGTGGCCTGATTTATACTTTTAAAATGACGCCTGGTCCTTTGGTCTTACCGTTTAGATCTCTGAATCATCTCCTTCTTCCCAATAGGCTTGGTCTTCTGGGCAGCCAGGAACACTAGGCAGGAGGGAAGGAGGATGTCAGAGGACAGTGACTTAATAAGGAAGGGCGTGGCGGTCAAGAGCTGTGAGAAGGGGCTGCTGGATGTTGTGCCCTTGACCTAATAAGCTAGGAGGTAAGGCCAAACCCAAGTAAGATGACAGTGACTGTGACAGCAGCCTAAGTCCCCTGAAGACATGGCACCTTGGAGCACAGATCTGTTCCAATTAAAAACCTGACCAATCTATAGGTAAGATTTATAGGTAAGGCTGTAATGAAGGCATTGGGTAGTATTTTATAGTTTTTATAGCTTTCCTATCTTATGTTATTGAGCTGTTACACTTTGTGTAATTGTTAAGAGCACAGATTTTGGAGCCAGCCCACCTGGGTTCTTTCACTTATCAGGGGTATAATCTTGGGCAAGGCACTTCATCTCTCTCTGTCTCTGCTCTCTCTCTGTAAAACAGGGCTCTCAGTGGTCCCTACTTTAGAGAGGTACTGTAAGCATTACCTGAGAACAGGGTCTGGGTAAGACACAATGCTATATAAGTGTTTATTACTATTATTACTATGATATGATTATTATTATCATCACCCTGTAGGGTACAGTAGCCTGCAATCAGTCCTCCTTTAAAGAAAAAAAAAGTTATACTTTTGGAATCAACTTGCTTGCAGACACACAGCTGGTTTATAAGAAGTCATTCTCTGTCAGCGCCGTGGCTCACTAGGCTAATCCTCCACCTTGTGGCACCGGCACACCAGGTTCTAGTCCCGGTCGGGGCGCCGGATTCTGTCCTGGTTGCCCCTCTTCCAGGCCAGCTCTCTGCTGTGGCCAGGGAGTGCAGTGGAGGATGGCCCAGGTGCTTGGGCCCTGCACCCCATGGGAGACCAGGATAAGTACCTGGCTCCTGCCACCGGATCAGCGCAGTGCGCCGGCCGCAGCGGCCACTGGGGGTTGAACCAATGGAAAAAGGAAGACATTTCTCTCTGTCTCTCTCTCTCACTGTCCACTATAAAAAAAAAAAAAGTCATTCTCACTGCACACTCCTGTTTTTAAGAGGCAATGAAGGGTGTTGGCACTGTGGTATAGCGGGTAAAACTGCCGCTTACAGTGCCGCCATCACATATCTGCATCAGTTTGAGACCCGGTTGCTCCACTTCCAATCCAGCTCTCAGCTATGGCCTGGGAAGGCAGAAGATGGTCCAAGTGCTTGGGCCCCTGCACCTGCATGGGAGACCTGGAAGAAGCTCCTGGCTTCTGCCTTCGGGTCAGCACAGCTCAGGCCATTGTGGCCATCTAGGAAATGAACCAGTAGATGGAAGACCTCTCTCCCCCTCTCTCTCTCTGCCTCTCTGTAACTCTGCCTTTCAAATAAATAAATAAATCTTTAAAAAAAAAAAAAAAGAAGAAGAAGAAGAGGAGGCTACAGGCTACAAGGCTACAGGAACTGGGCTTACCTGGGCTTTGAGAGTCCTGAGAGCTGACTGCAGCAAGGTCTGCTAGCTAAGGAGATTTGAGTCTGGGCAAACTTTCTGTCCATCTGCCTGGCCTGACCTTTAGCAGTGCTCCACAGCATAGCAGCAGCCTTGCCTGCTCCTCTCACTAAGGGAAAAGTGAAAAGCAGGCCTACCTCTCTCGGGCAGTGGGGCCGGGGCATTGAACAGCGCATGCCGCTCACTCTGCAACACATTCTGCAGCTTCCGTTCCTGCACAATTAGCCTCAGGCGCTTTATCCGCTCCCCAGAGCGGGAGATGAAGTCAGGTCTGTGGAGCTGCAGTGCTTCCTAAGGAGGAAAGAAAAAGCCCCCAACTCACATTAACGATATAGGCTATTCGCCAACACCTAGTGAAACAGCACCTGCCCAGCAGGTTTGTACAGTCTGTTTCTAAGGCTGAGAACACATCAAGGGGTGGAAGACACTCTGATAGCTCTCTGCTCCAGCAGGGAAACCAAAGAGGTGCCTCTGAAGGAAGCCAAGAACTAAGACTGTGGCAACTACAATTCTCCCAAATGTTGATGAGATACAGTCAAGTCCAGTGTGCTCTGAAATCCCTCCTCAAACAAATACATATTAAACAACATTTCCTTTAGCCCCCAAGGGACATATAAGAGGGTCGGTGCCTTCTGAATCTCGTATAGGCAGGTATCTATAAATTCGATGGGCAGTGCCATAATCCTCCTTTCTGTTGCCTTGTCTCCAGACCCTGAGGGAGCTGCACTGTAAGAGTAAGGCAGCCACTGGATTAATGGTGACAAATCAAGCCCTTATGTAGTATAAACAGATCAACTGCAGAAGTGCTAGACAAGAGGGTTGTAGGACTGAAGCTCAGAATGACAAGTCACAGATAAAACTCCCTTCGCACCTTGCTCTCCACCCGCTTCCCCACACCCCAACATACAGCAAAAGTTAACTTGATGTCACTGCACCTGTAGAGTTGCTCTCACAAACGGCCTTGGTGTGTCCCGACCATGATCTTGGCTTGGGCCTGCCAGTAACCCCCAATCGGCCACACGCTGTCCCTGCCAGTTCTGTTCCCGCAGCGGTTCCCTCCAGGGTTTGATTTTGGTTATTGGTTCAAACCAGGAGACACCGGGGCCACAAATCTTGGGCAGGTTTTCCTTCTTAGATTCAAACTTCACATCTTCCACAGGAACAAACCATGAAACTCCTACAGGAAATATTTTTAAGAAGTAAAAATGATTTTTCAGTTTTTAAACCCTGCTCTGCTCTCATCAAAGACATGTAAATAGCAGACTTTTGGAGGACTCAGTGGTCAGCCCTCGAGTCTGTCTTAATTTCAGGTGTGAGTCTGGACACCTTGGAAATTTGCTAAGGTGGTGATTGATGGAGGTGGGGGTCAACACAAAGTTATTCAAAAACAAAAAATCTTAGCACGAGACCTAATTCATCAGTATTTCTGCTACAAAAGCTGTAATCAGAAACTGACCTTCACAGCAATTCTGTTTGCTCTTCCTTAACTTTTTGTCTCCAAGATAATTGGCAAAGAGCATCTTTTCCTCAATTTTTTCTTCTGACCAGGAAGTCACGTCACTATCCTCTTCTAATCTGGCTTCGCTAGAACTTGGAGTCGGGAAAGTCACGCCAACGTCTCGAGTGTGTTTTCTGGTACCATTCACAATCTCCAAGTGACCTGAGGGCAGAGACCACGGGTGTTTCTCAAGTTGGCCAGTGAACCTTGTTCAGTGCTTCAAAGACAAGCCTTGTCTGGTTACAGGAAGAGAGAGAAGGGAGGATGCACACCCAGAGAAGGAGGGAGAAAGGCAGGGAGATGGTGGAGGAGAAAAAAAAATGAAGGTTTGGATTTCTAAGTGAGTTTAGATATTGTAGAGAAACAGGAATAAAAAGAGACTCAAAGGGTAGAGGACTTCAGTTCTGATCCCAAGGCAGAAAAAAAAAAAGACACCCAGCTATGGAAGAGGTTGAGAGAGGTAAAGACAAGACTTGAGCAGGGTGAAAAAAAATCAAGAGAAAATCTTATTTTTGTCTTATAAGATCAAAAGATACAGGAAGACAAACTGAAAAGCCTTCTCCCCACTTCTTGTTCTCCATCTACTGTCTCACAACTCCGTCAGAGACCAGGAAATTATCTCTGCACATTCAAGCAATTCTTCATCATTTTTTAAAAGCACAAAATACGCATAGTTGTATAATGGATGCTGTTCCGTAACTTGACTTTTATTATATTGGAGATCTTTCAGAGAGAGCTTCCTTATTCTATATAGGATTTCATTATATTTCTGTATAATAATTTATTTAATCATTCAGTTATTGATGGACATCTAAGTTGATTTCAATTTTCAGCTATAACACTCATTAATACTTCAATGGTTAAACACTTGTCATTTTGCACAAAGGCAAGTATATCTAAGGCTAAATTCCACATATGCACAGTGTATCTAGAGGACAAACTGCAAAAATAGAAGTGCAAGGTCAAAGTAATTTTGACAGAAACTGCCAAATTACCTTTCACAGAGGTTGTATCAAGTTATACTCGCACTCAATGTATGAGGGTACTCACTTCTCTACACTCTGCCCACAAACTTGGATTTTTTTGCCACTCTTATATGTGAAAAATGACATTTGGATACACAGTTTTATGCTTCATTTCTTTCATTATGAGTAATGCTGAGTATCTTATGTATTTAAGAGACATTTCTATTTCAGTGGAAAAGTTTAAACACAAGTAATTTACCTGCTTGTACGCCCTTGTTTAACATGTGTACATTTTGCTTGTTGCAAATGGTAGAGTTTGAGCTCAAGAAAGTACCGGCAGAAGATGAAACAGAGTCAGAAGAAATCATCTGGTTTTCCTCCTGGAAAACAAGAGAGATCCTGCTATTGTCACCTCAATCAACTGCACAGTTACCTGTAGGATAAGCAAGCTTACAAGGCTCCAAGAGCCCTTTCTCATCCAATTCACATTGCTGAGATGCAGCTGGGAGAAGCTGGTGAACAATGTGAACATGCTGCCTTGCATCTGCCACAGAGGGAATGCTGGTATAGGTGGATCAGGCTGGGGGTGTTAAGATGGGTAATCAAATATAAGGCTGGGGCCGGCACCATGGCATCCCATATGGGTGCCGGGTTCTAGTCCCAGTTGCTTGTCTTCCGGTCCAGCTCTCTGCTGTGGCCCAGGAGGGCAGTGGAGGATGGCCCAGGTGCTTGGGTCCCTGCACCCGCATGGGAGACCAGGAAGAAGCACCTGGCTCCTGGCTTCGGATCGGTGCAGCTCCGACCGAAACGGCCATTTAGGGGGTGAACCAACGGAAGGAAGACCTTTCTGTCTGTCTAACTCTATCTGTCAAATAAAAAAAAAAAAAAATAAGGCTGGGTATTTCCAGGGCTTGGAAACGCTGAAGCGGATACTAGCCAAGCATTACCCTGTGCATCCTGAATGGAATTCTAAATTGGTATCTGCATACAATTGTTTAAAACATTTCTTTATTTGAAAGGCAGTGTTACAGGGAAGGGAGAGCCAGAGAAAGAGATATCTTCCATTCACTGGTTTACTCCCCAAACTGGGCCAGGCCAAAGCCAGGAGCCTGGAACTCCATTCAGGTCAAGAACATGGGCCATCTTCGTTCCTTTCCCAGGTACATTTAGCAAGGAGCTGGATTGGAAATAGAACAGCTAGAACTCTAACTGGCTTCCATATGGGATGCTAGCATTGCAGTCTGAGGCTCAAATTGCTGTGCCACAATGCTGGCCCCAGGTACCTGCATGTAATTTTGATGTAAGATAAAGGCTGAAGATAGCTAAAGAAAGTGATGTGCTACAGAAAGTACTCTCCAGTAAGAACAAACTCACCTACACAAGACCTAAATGTTAGAAAGAATAAAATAAAATGTTAGAGAATGGGGCAGGCATTTGCCCTGGCATTTGGGACACCTGCATTCCCCACCAGAGTACCTGGGTTTGAGTCCAGGCTCTGCTTCCACTTCCAGCTTCCTGCTAATGAGTATCCTGGGAAGCAGCAGGTGATGGCTCAAGGACTTGAGTCCCTAGCACAAGAACCTGGATTGAGTTCTTGGCTTTTGGCTTCAGCCCGGCCCAGCCCTGGCTGTGTGGGCACTTGGGGAGTGAGCCAGAGGAAGAGCTCTCTGTCTGCGACATTAATGGGGGTGTGCCCGATGGTAATACACCATGCCTTCTCTGCAGCTGTGAAAGAGAGACAGAAGGCACTCTCGGAAACAAAAATGGACTGCCTTTCAAGATAATATTTTCAAATACAAAAAGCAAACTGTGTTGCTCTTTTTTGTGAAAAGGGATGAATACACGTGGAGGTGTTTGCTTTTTTATGTATGAAAGTTTTCTGAAAAAAAATCTAGATTGGAAAGAAATAAAACTGCTTTTATTTGCAAATTACATGATCCTTTCCATAGAAAATACTAAGGATTCCACAAAGAAGTACTAGAATTAATAAATAAGTTTAGTCAGGCTCTAGAATATAAGATCTGAAAAGTAATATATTTCTGTATCTAGCAATGAGCAATCTAAAAATAAAATTAAGGAACAATTCCTTCTCAAGAGCACCAAAAACAATAAGACATTTAGGAATAAAGTTAATAAAAGAAGTTCAAGATTTCACACCGCAAACCACAAAACACAACGGGGATAAATTAAAGGTCTACAGGTCTGGTGAGATGCTGCACATAAGTGGACTGGAAGACGCAAAATCGTTAACATGGCAATCCTCCTCAAATTCTACCAGAATCTGAAGGCATTTTTAAAGAAACTCACAAGCTGATCTACATGGAAATAAAAAGGACAAGAGCCAAAATTTATTGAAAACAAAGAACAAAGAGGGAGAATGTATGTTTCCAGATTTAAAAACTTGCTATAAATCTACAGTAATTAAGATATTGTTGTAGGCCAGCACCGCGGCTCACTAGGCTAATCCTCCGCCTTGCGGCGCCAGCACACCGGGTTCTAGTCCCGGTCGGGGCGCTGGATTCTGTCCCGGTTGCCCCTCTTCCAGGCCAGCTCTCTGCTGTGGCCAGGGAGTGCAGTGGAGGATGGCCCAAGTCCTTGGGCCCTGCACCCCATGGGAGACCAGGAGAAGCACCCGGCTCCCGCCATCGGATCAGCGCGGTGCACCATCCGCAGCGCGCCAGCCACGGCAGTCATTGGAGGGTGAACCAATGGCAAAGGAAGACCTTTCTCTCTGTCTCTCTCTCTCTCACTGTCCACTCTGCCTGTCAAAAAAAAAAAAAAAAAAAAAAATCTCTGAAAATCTTCAAGAAAGTGGTAACATCCACTGTCTCTGGAAAGATCTCGCTAGTGCCTGGGGCATAAGAGCAGAAAAGGCATTCTTTATCAAATCCTATTTTACATACTTTTAATTTTTTACCCTGTGATTATATTACCAGTTTAGGAAATGAGAACAAAACCACAACTTTGGAGGAAGGTCGCAGGAAATAAAGATTTCAGCAGGAAGAGGATGAGATTGGTCTTCCTGTGCTCACAGAGTTTCAGAATTACAACACAAGTACATTTCGGATCTTTTAAGTCAAAACCTTTGGTTATCTGGAGCCTTGGACAAATGGCATGAGTGCTGTGAACAGGGAGGGGGTGGGGGAGCCACTGAAGCTGAGGCTGAGGTCTCCGTTCCTGCAGATGCAGAGGGGTTGACGCCATAGGAGAGGGTAAGACCACAGGTCTCCTGTGGTCCCTTCCAAGCCTGGGACTCTGTAAAGTGCACAACCAGCCACAGCATGCTTGACAACAAAACGTATTCCCTCAACAAAATGTATTTATTTAGTCTTCTAGGATAGGGAAAATGAAAAGGACAGATCAAAACAAGCACTCACTATGATATAGAGAAGTTGGAGCCCTCATACATTACTGATGGGGATGTAAAATAGTACAGGACTTTGGAAAACGCTCTGGTTATTCCTCAAATCACTGAACATGGCGTTACCACATGATTGAAAAATTGTAATCCTGGGTATATATCCAAGTGAAATGAAAACAAAAAACAAACACACCATGAACGTTTATAGCAGTTTTGTTCATGATAATAAAGTATAAAAAAACCCAAACGATTGTGAATTGATGAATAAATAAAATATGGTATAGTCACACAATAGGTTTTTTTTAACTTGGCCATAAAAAGGAACAGGTGGATGAACCTTGAAAATACAATGTTAAGTGAAAGATAACAGTCACAAAAGACTAGGTAGTATATGATTTCACTGACATGAAAGGTCCAGAACAGGCAAAGCCACAGAGACAGAAAGTAATTAGTGGTTGCCAGTGAGCTGGGGCCGGGGTGAGAGTTTGGGGAAATGAGGACTATTAATACATATTGCTTTTGTTTTGGGTGGATGCTCAAATATTCTAATAAAACTAGATTAAGGTGATGGTTGCATAGTTCTATGAATATACTAAAAAAAAAAGCTGTCTACATAAATCTTGTGACATGTAAAATACCTCAAGAAAGCAGTAAAAATGTTTCTTCATGCAAACTGAAATAAATGTGGATTATGAAGTGCTGTTTGTAGAAAAAAGGCTCATCATGTCCTATGGCTCCTCTCTCCTGTTACTGAATCAGGGATCTAAGAACAATGGAAGGTGACCCAACAGTGCTGCTTTCATACACTGCAGAACAGTCAATTACAACAAAAATGTGAACACTGGTTTTCACAGGTGTGACACAGGGCTCCACTCTAAGCTAGAGCCAAGTGCAAACTGTCAGAAGTATGCAATCACGCCATGTGATGCCGGCTTCCACTCACAGATTCGCAACAAATAATCACAATGCACAGGCCTGCACTTGTGTCTAACCATTTGTGTTGAGGACCCATCATGGAATAAAATTTTTTTCCTTAAACACATTTAGATACTGTTGGTAAACCACAATAGTGCTTTTTCCTTAATCAACAGGAAAGTCTCAGCATCTCCTCTGACCTCAGCATCCCTCAGGGCCTGGGTGTGAATTAGCCCACTCAGTCCTCCGCAAGGGGGCTGAGATTTAAGTGACTACAAGTTAACTGACATCAGCTTCCATGGTTTAAGGTTTTTGTGGCACACAGTCTGGGAAGGAGATATACACTGGCTGCCTGCTCTAGCTTCTATTATTAAGACAGCAAACATACCTGATGATGCCTTATTCCATACCAGGACAAGAAAGTAAATGTATTAAGCTTTTTGGACGTTTTTTGTTTAACTAAAATTTAGGTGAGACTCATTCCCATATTTATTGATTAGAACATCAGACAGACTCAGAAATAAAAGCCTTTCAACTAAAAATTATGATTTTGAGGTTAAAATTGAGCTTAGGAAAACATATCCAACCTAGAAAAAATGTCCTGCTTTCTTACAAATGATCCTACGTGGCTATGGTTCATGTAGGAAGATTATTATTGCCAACTTTTAGCCAGCTGGATACCTACTGGAAGATTCTTTCCCTTCAGAGGAAATAATTAATGCTAATTCACTTAATACCACTCAAGTTTAGATCTACAGATAAACACTGAAAAGATAGTTAAAATTAGAAAGATAGTCTATGGGGGCCTGGTGCTGTGGCACAGCGGGTTAAGTTGCCTCCTGCAACACCAGCATCCCATATGGGTGCCATTTTGCAGTCCTGGCTGCTCCACTTCCAATCCAGCTCCCTGCTAATGCACCTGGAAAAGCAGCGGAGGATGGCCCAAGTCCTTGGGGTCCCTGCACCCACGTGCAAGACTTGGAAGAAGCTCCGTGCTCCTGGCTTTGGCCTGGCCCAGACTGTTGAAGCCATTTGGGAAGTGAACCAGTGGACAGAAGATCTCGATCTACCTCTCTCCTAACCCTCCCTAATAAATAAAATAAA